CCTCAATTACCATTGTTACTGCACCTGCTGACCTCGCTCTTCACATATCTAATGCCCAAGATGATTACTCCTTCCTGCAGTCTACATATCCTGAAGATTTCAAACCAGAACTTCGCCTATCTTCCCACACACTTGCAAGTCATGATATTTTCCATTTCATACGAACTTCAGGTCCTCCAGTATTCTCAAAGTTTCGTTGGTTGTCTCCAGAAAAACTCACCACAACAAAAAAGGTCTTCAAGGAAATGAAAGAAATGGGTCTATGTCAAAAGGCATCCAGCTCATGGGTATCCCCATTGCACATAGTAATAAAAACGGACGGCACTCTACGACCCTGCAGCAACTACAGGTGATTGAATATGATGACAGAACCTGATTATTACCCTCTCCCTAACATTGCTGATGTTACGACATACCTACATGGGGCCAAGATATTTTCCAAACTGGACTTGCTCAAAGGTCACTATCAAGTCCCTATGAATCCTGAAGACATTCTCAAGACAGCCATAACCACTCCCTTTTGAACATATACATTCAACTACTCTTGCTTCGGCCTCAGAAACGCCAGAGCCACTTTCCACCGCATGATGGATGGGATTTTGGGTGACCTACCCTTCTGTATTGCTTATGTGGATAACATCCTAGTTTTCTCTCCTATTCATGACACCCACACAAAACACCTCCACCAAGTTCTTGAATGTCTACGCTCTGCTGGTCTCATCGTCAGGCATGACAAGTGTGTATTTGGAGTTAAAGAAGTAGAATTCCTGGGACACTGTATCTTCACCAAGGGTGTCCTTCCCCTCCAAGAAAAGTAACTGCCATCCAGACATTCCCTAAGCCTACTACTATCAAGGCCTTGCAAGAATTTGTAAGAATGGTAAACTATTACTATCGTTTATTACCAAACATTGCTTAAATAATGACTCCACTATATACAGCACTGGCTGGAAAGCCAAAATCACTATCCTGGGGCCCTGCCCAAGAAGATGCCTTTAATGCTGCCAAAAAAGCTCTTTCTGCTGCAGCCCATCTTAATACCTGGTCTACCTCTTATCTTGTCTACTGATGCCAGTGATACTGCAGTGGGAGCTGTCCTCAAACAGATTAATCATGGAGTTTGTCAAGCACTCGCCTTCTTCAGTAGAAAGCTTACTCCTACTGAAACCCATTACTCCATCTTCGACAGGGAGCTTCTTGCTATTTATTCCGCTGTCCGCCACTTCAAACATTTTCTTGAAGGTGTCTCATTTACCATCCAAACGGGCTACCTTCCACTTGTCCACACTTTTACCAAGCGAACAGATCCATGTTCAGCAAGACAACAAAGACAACTCTCTACTATATCTGAGTTGAACTGTACTTTGCAACATGTCTCGGGATAAAAGAATCCTTCTGCTGATGCACTTTCAAGAAACACTATTTCATCCATATGCCTTGGCCTCGACTACTGTCACCTCGCAGAACTACAGATACAAGATCCTGAAACGCAATCTTGTCGTACATCACTCACATCTCTTCAATGGAAAGATTTACCAACAGACGAAGAAGGGACCACCATCTTGTGTGATGTGAGTTCAGGACGACCTCGCCCCTGGATTCTTCAGCCTCTTCAAGGACAGGTATTCCAACATATTCATGGATTTTCTCATCCCTCCGGCCGATCAACTTCTATGCTCCTCAAGAAAAAATTCATATGGCACGGCATAACAAAAGACGCTAAATCTTCGTTCTCTCCTGCTTGTCATGTCAAGCTTCTAAAATCTACCTACATACTGAATCTGGAATTGGTACTTTTCCTCAGCCACAAAGACGTTTTTCCCATGTCCATGTTGATATTGTGGGACCTCTTCCTCCATCAGAAAACAACAAATACATATTCACAATAGTAAACCGCTTAACCCGATGGCCCAGGGCAGTGCCTACGAAAGAGGCCACTTCCTCCTCCTGTGCTTCTGCCTTCCTATCTGCCTGGATCTCAAGATTTGGCATCCCCGAACATATTACATCAGATAGGGGTTCCACATTACATCCCAACTCTGGAACTCTCTCAATCAGCTCCTTGGCTCCACAAGCCATCACACAACGTCCTACAATCCAGAAGCCAACGGCATGGTTGAACGCATGCACAGAACACTAAAGGCAGCCCTCATCACCTGCTGCACAAGCAATTCTAGGATACATCAACTACCTTGGGTACTACTTGCATTCCAAACTACTCCCAAAGAAGGTCTTAACGTATTCTCAGCCGAGAATGGTATATGGCGACCCCTTGGTGGTACCTGTGGAGTTTTTCCCAAACAACAATCACCATGAAGATATCGATCGTCTCCGCCACATAGTTGGAAAATACACACCTGTACAACAAAAATACCAGAATAACAGAAAAACTTTCATTCCACGAGACCTCAACACAGCCACCCACGTCTTCATCAGAACGGATAGTCATCGGATGCCTCTAACACCTCCTTACACTGGACCGCATAGAGTCATATGACGACGTTCAAAGGCATTCCTTCTCAACATCCATGGCACTGAGAAGTGGATATCCATTGACTGCTTGAAAGTCGCCTACCTTCAAGAAGATGATCCTCATCCTATTCGTTTCTCTAGGGCAGGACGCCCTTTAGTCTTTTCCAAGTGGGAAGCATTGTACAAACGTACAAATTGTAAATAATATTTTTTATCAAAATATGTAATTTTTGTAAATAGGTAATCATTTAGTAATTATTAAGTTATTTTCAAGTTGTATTTACTGGGTCAATGATTACTCTTGGGTTGTTTGTAACTCCTCCCACTGAAATAGCTGTACATATAAATAACCCTTGAATTTGTTCATTAAATCAGTTCAATATTCTGCTTGTATTGGTGAACATCCTCTTTTATATATTAAGTAAAACAACTCTTGCTTTCCATTTGAAGTAGTGAAGTAACAACAGTCGTTACAATATGAAGGGTCTTTTTGCCAGGTGTCTCCAGGTCACCAATGACACAGATATGACCCTGTGTGAATTCTGGAAAGACCACTTCAATATCCTCCACTGCATAGGCCTCATTGACAAGGCAGAGAAGGAGGTCTCATAATGTATGTTGCAGTCTACCTGGAGGAAACTTTGGCTAGGTTGTGTAGCTGATAGAGACTTTGAGGGTTTTAAGTAGGAGACAGCTGTTATCACAGTGAAAGAGATTGTGGTCACAGGCAAAATTCTGGGCTTGGAGGTCAATGAGGAGGATGTGGAGGAGCTGGTGGAAGATCAAAAACAAAAACTCACCACCAGAGAATTGATCGAGTTGCAATGTAAACAGGTGAAGACTATTCAAGAGGAGCAATCAGTGGAGAAGGGGAATGAGGGGGTAAAGGTTTCTAGAGAAAAGTTTTAAGAAACTTTTAGTAAGTGGAGTGATGTGCAGGTTTCCTTGAGATTCATCGCCCGGACAAAACTGTGAGCAACAAAGCAGTGAAGTTTTTAAATGACAATGTTGTGTCTCATTTCAGAAAAAAAATCATCAACAAAGAAAAATGAAAAATTTCTCTGGATCATTTTCTTAAGCCAATACCAACCAGAGAACTATCTTCCAAGAGAGAACATACATGTAGAAAGAAAACACCAGAAATACAGCCTATACCTGAAATTTTGCCTGGCGTTTTTATGAAAGGGGACTCTCCTTCAAAGGAGTAGTTCTTCTCATCCTCCTCCTCCATCGCCACCATCCACGTGTGCCAGCAATGGTCAACCCAAAAGGTAAATACTGTACCTTTATTTATTTTAGTTTTATTTTCGTACAGAAGAATATTTTTTCTATAATTAAGGTTATATTCCAATCATTTATACATTTTTGTAACATATAAATCCATAAAAATAAATTAAAAAGGTATATTTCTGGGGCTAGGGAACGGATTAATTGAAATTACATTAACTTCTTGGGGGAAAATTGTTTCAAGTTACGAACATTTTGACTTATAAATGAGGTTAAGGAATGGATTAAGTTGGTGACTAGAGGTACCACTGTATATATATATATATATATATATATATATATATATATATATATATATATATATATATATATACATATATATATATATACATATATATATATATATATATATATATATATATATATATATATATATATATATATATATATATATATATATATATATATATATATATATATATATATATATATATATATATATATATATATATATATATATATATATATATATATATATATATATATATATATATATATATATATATATATATATATATATATATATATATATATATATATATATATATATATATATATATATATATATATATATATATATATTATATATATATATATATATATATATATATATATATATACATATATATATATATATATATATATATATATATATATATATATATATATATATATATATATATATATATATATATATATACATATATATACATATATATATATATATATATATATATATATATATATATATATATATATATATATATATATATTTATATATATATATATTTATATATATATATATATATATATATATATATATATATATATATATATATATATATATATATATATATATATATATATGTATATATATGTATATATATATATATATATATATATATATATATATATATATATATATATATATATATATATATATATATATATATATATATATATATATATATATATATATATATATATATATATATATATATATATATAGATAGATAGATAGATAGATAGATAGATAGATAGATAGATAGATAGATAGATAGATAGATAGATAGACAGATAGATAGATAGATAGATAGATATATATGTATATATATATATATATATATATATATATATATATATATATATATATATATATATATATATATATATATATATATATATATATATATATAAAACCAAATATGCACATTACCATATGTGAAAACATGAAAAATTTTTACCCCAACCGGGACTTGAACCAGGGACTTATCATTACTAAGTCAAGCGCTACCAACTACACCACAGTGGGTTAATGGGAAACAAACCTTACAGCTTATATCTGCCATATTAGGAATGAACGCATTCTATCTGAATGCCCCTATGTTCATATTACAGTTTCTCCAACCTCCTTTGTGGTTTCGCTTTTGCATTTAATTCAACTCCCAATCTCAATCGGGACCAACAATATCCAAAATGCGAAAACGAACAGATAGAATGCGTTTATTCCTAATATAGCAGATATAAGCTGTAAGATTTGTTTCCCTTTAACCTTCTGTGTTGTAGTTGGTAGTGCCTTGGCTTAGTGATTATAAATCCAAGGTTCAAGTCCCTGTCGGGGTAAAATGAGTTCATTTTTTCACCTATGGTAATGTGCTTATTTGGTTATTGTTGGTCCTGAAAGAGATTGGGAGTTGAATTAAATGCAAAAACGAAACCACGAGCGAGATTGGGGAAACTGTAATATGAACATAGTGGTATTCAGATAGAATTCGTTCATTCTTAATATAGCAGAAATAAGCTGTAAATTTTGTTTCCCTTTAACCTTCTGTGGTGTAGTTGGTAATGCCTTGGCTTAGTAATTATATGTTCCAGGTTCAAGTCCCAGTCGGGGTAAAAATGGTTCATGTTTTCACATATAGTAATGTGCTTACTTGGCTATTGTTGGTCCCGAATGAGACTTGGAGTTGCATTAAATGCGAAAACGAAACCACGAGAGAGGTTGGGGAAACTGTGATATGAACATAGTGGCATTCAAATAGAATGCATTCGTTCCTGATATAGCAGATATAAGCTATAAGGTTTGTTTTCATTTAACCCTCTGTGGTGTAGTTGGTAGCACCTTGGCTTAGTAATTATAAGTCCCAGGTTCAGGTTCTGGTCGGGGTAAAGATGGTTCATGTTTTCACACGTGGTAATATGCTTATTTGCTTTTTGTTGGTCCCGAATGAGATTGGGAGTTGAATTAAATCCGAAAAAGACACCACAAGTGAGGTTGGTGAAATTGTATTGTGAATATAGTGGCATTCAGATAGAATGCATTCATTCCTAATATAGCAGATATAAGCTGTAAGGTTTGTATCCCTCTAACCTTCTGTGTTGTAGTTGGTAGCGCCATGGCTTAGTAATTATAAGTTTCAGGTCCAAGTCCCATTTGGGGTAAAAATGGCTCATGTTTACACATATAGTAATGTGCTTATCTGGTTATTGTTGGTCTTGAATGAGATTGGGAGTTGAATTAAAAGCGATGAAAAAACCACGAGCGAGGTTGTAGTAGCTGTAATATGAACATAGTGGAATTCAGGTACAATGCATTCATTCCTAATATAGCAGATATAAGCTGTAAGGTTTGCTTCCCATTAACCTTCTGTGGTATAGTTGGTAGCGCCTTGGCTTAGTAATTATAAGTCTCAGCTTCAAGTCCCGGTCAGGTAAAAATGGTTCATGTTATCACAAATGGTAATGTGCTTATTTGTTTATTGTTGGCCCTGAATGAGTTTGGAGTTGAATTAAATGCGAAAACAAAACAACGAGTGAGGTTGGGGAAACTGTAATGTGAACATAGTGGCATTCAAGTAGACTGCGTTCATTCCTAATATGGCAGAAATAAGCTGTAAGGTTTGTTTCCCTTTACCCTTCTGTCATGTTGTTGGCAGCGCCTTGGCTTATTAATTATAAGTCCCAGGTTAAAGTCTCGGTCGTAGTAAAAATGGTTCATGTTTTCACATATGGTAATGTGCTTGTTTGGTTATTGCTGGTCCTGTATGAGATAGGGGGTTGAATTAAATGCAAAAACGAAACCACAAGTGAGGTTGGGGAAACTGTAATATGAACATATTGGCATTCAGACGGAATGCGTTCATTAGTAATATAGCAGATATAAGCTGTAAGGTTTGGTTGTCTTTAACCTTCTATGGTGTAGTTGGTAGTGCCTTGGCTTAGTAATTATAAGTCCCAGGATCAAGCCCCGGTTGGGGTAAAAATGGTTCATGTTTTCACATACGGCAGTATGCTTATTTGGTTACTGTTGGTCCCGAATGAGATTGGGAGTTGAATTAAATGCGAAAACGAAACCACGAGTGAGGTTTTGGAAACTGAAATATGAACATAGTGGCATTTATATATTATGCGTTCATTCCAAATATAGCAGATGTAAGCTGTAAGGTCTGTATCCCTTTAACCTTCTGTGGTGTAGTTAGTAGCATCTGGCTTAGTAATTATAAGTCCTAGGTTCAAGTCCCGATTCATGTTTTCACATATGGTAATGTGCTTATTTGGATAATGTTGGTCCCGAATGAGATTGGGAGTTAAATTAAATGCAAAAACATAACCACTATATAATGTGAACATAGTGGTATTCAGATAGAATGCGTTCATTCCTTAGATAGCAGATATAAGCTATAAGGTTTGTATCCCTTTAACCTTCTGTGGTGTAGTTGGTAGTGCCTTGGCTTAGTAATTATAAGTCCCAGGTTCAAGTCCCGGTCGGGTAAAAATGGTTCATATTATCACAATTGGTAATGTGCTTATTTGTTTAATGTTAGTCCTGAATGAGTTTGAGAATTGAATTAAATGCGAAAACGAAACCATGAGTGAGGTTGGGGAAACTGTAATGTGAACATAGTGGCATTCAGATAGAGTGCGTTCATTCCTAATATGGCAGAAATAAGCTGTAAGGTTTGTTTCCCTTTACCCTACTGTGGTGTTGTTGGTAGTGCCTTTGCTTATTAATTATAAGACCCAGGTTGAAGTCTTGGTCGGAGTAAAAATGGTTCATGTTTTCTCATATGGTAATGTGCTTATTTGGTTATTGCTGGTCCTGAATGAGATTGGGGGTTGCATTAAATGAAAAAACGAAACCACAAGTGAGGTTGGGGAAACTTTAATAAGAACATAGTGGCATTCAGATAGAATGCATTCATTTGTAATATAGAAGATATAAGCTGTAAGGTTTGATTGTCTTTAACCTTCTATGGTGTAGTTGGTAGTGCTTTGGCTTAGTAATTATAAGTCCCAGGCTTAAGTCCCAGTCATGGTAAAAATGGTTCATGTTTTCACATACGGTAATGAGCTTATTTGGTTACTGTTGGTCCCGAATGCGATTGGGACTTGAATTAAATGCAAAAGTGAAACCACGAGTGAGGTTTTGGAAACTGAAATATGAACATAGTGGCATTCATATATTATGCGTTCATTCCAAATATAGCAGATATAAGCTGTAAGGTCTGTTTCCTTTGACTTTCAGTGGTGTAGTTGGTAGCATCTTGGCTTAGTAATTATAAGTCCAAGGTTCAAGTCCCGATTCATGTTTTCACATATGGTAATGTGCTTATTTGGATAATGTTGGTCGCAAATGAGATTGGGAGCTAAATTAAATGCGAAAACAAAACCACGAGAGAGGTTGGGGAAACTGTAATGTGAACATAGTGGCATTCAGATAGGATTCGTTAGTCCCTAAGATAGTAGATATAAGCTGTAAAGTTTGTATCCCTCTAACCTTCTGTGGTGTAGTTGGTAGCGCCTTGGCTTAGTAATTATAATTCCCATGTTCAAGTCCCGGTCGGGGTAAAAATGGTTTACTGTTTTCACATATGGTAATGTGCTTATTTGGTTATTGTTGGTCCGAAATGAAACTGGGCGAAACCACGAGTGAGGTTGGGGAAACTATAATTAGAACATAGTGGCACTCAGATAGAATGCGTTCAGTCCTAATATAGCAGATATAAGCTTAAACGTTTTTCTCTTTAACCTTCTGTGGTGTAGTTGGTAGCGCCTTGGCTTTGTAATTATAAGTCTCAGGTTCAAATCTCGCTCGGGGTAAAAATGGTTCATGTTTTCATATATGGTAATGTGCCTATTTGGTTATTGATTTAGTCCCGAATGAGGTTGGGAGTTGAATTAAATGCGAAAACGAAGCCACGAGCGAGGGTGTGGAAACTTTAATATGAACATAGTGGAATTCATTTAAAATGCGTTCATTTTTAATATAGCAGATATAAACTGTAAGGTTTGTTTCCCTTTAAACTTATGTGGTGTAGTTGGTAGCGCCTTTGCTTAGTAATTATATGACCATGGTTCAAATCCCGGTCCGGGCAAAAATGGTTCATATATATTTATATATATATATATATATATATATATATATATATATATATATATATATATATATATATATATATATATATATATATATAGATGTATATATATATATATATATATATATATATATATATATATATATATATATATATATATATATATATATATATATATATATATATATTTATAATATATATATATATATATATATATATATATATATATATATATATATATATATATATATATATATATATATATATATATATATATATATATATATATATATATATATATATATATATATATATATATATATATATATATATATATATATATATATATATATATATATATATATATATATATATATATATATATATATATATATATATATATATATATATATATATATATATATATATATATATATATATATATATATATATATATATATATATATATATATATATATATATATATATATATATATATATATATATATGTATATATATAAATATATATATATATATATATATATATATATATATATATATATATATATATATATATATATATATATATATATATATATATATATATATATATATATATATATATATATATATGAGAGAAAAGCACCACTAATTTTTTTACGTAAAAGTATTAAAACTTAGCATGTATGTCTGCCAGTTTGGCTACAAAGAATTATGCAAGGTTTGATCTTTTTTTGCGTACCATATATATAGTTATTTATGTGTAATACATTGTAACATGTTTTACACATATGGATTTCTGGACTAGTTTGCCGTGCCAGTCCATGCCAGACTTATTATTAAAACTTTACCAATGCTGACCTCACTCTTCCCTCCCCTTGCGCCACCCTCAAAAATCTAAAGGATTGAGAATACTGGTGGGTTGGGGAGGTAGGTCT